TCTTTATTCTCCCACCACCACCAGAATGCACATTCTTGAGGGCCTTGTCTGAATTGTTTACAGAGCTATCCCCAGGACTTAGAAGACTGGTAGGCTCATTAGTGAGTGTTCATAAATCAGTCACTTAATGAAAGAATTAGAAAGGATTTATCTAGTCAGTATCAGATCCTGTCTTTAATAAGGAGCAAGTATCCCGGATACTGACTGCTTACCAGGAGGTCTGGGGTATGCATCCCCTCTCCCCCATGGACCCTGCCCCCAGGGCACAGGGAAAAGGGAAGCTTCATCCAGTTCACATAGATTCCTCCATCACTCATCCATTCCTCACATTCTTTGTTGATGGACAGTCCCAACTGAGACAGCTGAAGCACACATTAACTACTCAACAGCAAGAACCTGACCTCCGATGATCCTTTCCGACTCCTAAACTATCCTCTTCTTTTGAAACAAACCCCACTCCTGATTTCAGCCATATTTATTTCACTCAAGCTTCTGATAAACACGCAGTTTTCATCCCTGAATTCATTCTCGGGCTTGAGTCTAGCCTTGCTTCTGGCACAAACACTACCTGAGCCTCTGATACAACTTGGATGATTTCAAATGATGGGATGATGAAATATGAGAAAAGAAGGAAGAGAAGACTTATTATTTTTATACTCGTGATTATTTGAACAGATTCCTTTGGTCCCACTACTGTTCCAATTTATTAAATTGAGTTAAAATGTATATTTTTGGAATTTTCTCTAGCATTGATAAAGTATAAACATAATCATCTATTATATTAAAACAGCAACTAAAATTCTTAATTGGTAGTGTTGACTATTAGAATAGAGGGTATCCAATTTCCCATATACCTTAGATTTCATGGAATTTCAAGGATTGCAGTATATTCCATTCTGTAATGTTTTTATAATGTTCTTGCCACTGTGCATACAAGTGAGTGTCTGGATAGAGATTCTGCCTCTAAAAGAAACTATAAATTACCGTAGTAGGTCTAAACTAGTTCACAGAAGAATAATGTTGCATTTATTTACGTCTCTAAAAAGGTAATTTTCCAACTTCTGGAAGTTTATTTTTTATAGAGCAAATATAATATAAGAGTGGATATATACTTTGCCTCTTAAACCTTATATTACAAGATCTAGAAAAGATAGTCTGTGTGTATAATGACTGCAATTGAAATAATCAGCAAATACTATAGGGAAAAGGCCGGTCCCTGCAGTTTCATGTTCTACTCTTTTGCACTGTGTTGAATGGCTAAAAGGTTCATGACAAAAGATTTTCTAATAGCACACAGGCAAAAAAATATGGCTTTTCTCCTGACACTTGAAGGAGATTATGGTCCATTTTTTAAATCATATTTTTCATGAATATTGACTTTATTAATTTAATATACCTTCATTTACCTATTTTATTGTATACATATGCAGGATATTTTAGTAGTGCAGGATTTCTCTAGAAAATTAGACTTACATTGCTGACAGAATGAAACAGTGTCATGTTTTGATATTATTTCATTTATTTGTTTGTTTTCTTTGTTCAATAGCTCTGTGTCTAGAGGTTTCATTTTTTTTTAATTTGCAATTTACCAGAAATTCTTTACCTTCACTATCATATGAGCTGATGGTTCGAGTCAGCGATCTTACATCTTTGCATAGAGGGAAAAAGCACAGCAAATTCTCATCCTTTTAAAAGCAGAAGTAGGTCTTGGATCCTTTACGTGGTTACTCAATTTAAACAACAGTCCTCTCAAACAAAACAGGTCTTGATGAACTTCAATAATGTTTATCTAAATAAACTATTTTTCTTAACCACATGTAGAAAGCAGTATTTCTCCTAGCATTATTTTATAAATGTTCTCTTTCTTACAATCTTATTAGAAGTACTGTTAATATTTAAAATAGTATAATTTATTAGCAATAATAATTCTCAAACATTATAAGTACATAAAGGAATTGTCAAATTGAGAATCAATCTGAAGCTAGAGAAGAATTTCAACAAAATATACAGGAAAACCAAAACAAGAAACACTAGGAAACAGATTCATATGCTACAAGATAATTGAGATGACGCCCCCAAATTGCAAAAGGAAAAATTTAGAAACATCAAAAGTAAGCAAACTATGTATGATCTTAACAACTGGAGAGTTTGATGTATACATTAGCTGAACATTTTAAAAGCTGAAGTTCTATCACATTTAAGTGGAAATTCAGAAGATGGTGCAAAGACACAGTGCATCTTCAGGTCTCTTAACAGTCAACAGACAAATGCTCAGTTGATTCTACCGAAAAGTGACTTCCTGTCCCTTTTCTATTCCCGTCTTTGGCTTATATTGGTTGGTATGAGAAAAAAAGAAAGATTCAGGTAAGATAAGAGAAAAAATAGTAGAGCATTAAGCAAGATAAAAAAATTGGGGGAGAAAAAATAAACTATGTCCTTTTACTAATGGAACATCCAAAGTCCAATTAGGAATATAGTAGTTTGTAGCATGTATGAATGGGACCGTGGGTGGGTCCCATTCAAAACAAATGAAAGAAACCATATTAGATAAGCACAAAATATTTTCCCACCACTATTGTTAAAGAAGCTTTTTTCCCCCAATGAAAGTGTACTCTTTAATGGATACTTTTTTAAAGTGTGCATTGCTATGAAAGCTAAGCAATTTTGAAATTTTGATTGAAATTGAAGAAGCAAGACATTTGTAATTTAAGAATTAATACTTAATTGTGAAATTTCACCCTTTTTTGTCTTGGTTTCAGAAAAGATACCACAGAAAACAGCCCAGGGTTGCCTAGAGGGAGAACTAAGCCTCAAAGTTCCAAAGTGGATAGTGAATTGAAAATCCTGGAAAGTATCAGGAGGCTAAGGAAAAGGTGAATGTATTGATTTAATGAATGCATTTACATGATGATTGACAAGTGAGCATCCAGGTTCCACTACCCAATATTTCTGGGAAAGGAAGGGTGGGAAGAGGATTTTGCCAGCTTGTGCCTACTATTTCCGTGCCATCCAGACCGCTTGAGCAGAGAAGTAGGGAGGGACTAGGTCTGCATTAGGTAGGAAATAGATCACAAAGCTTGCTTTGAACTCTTGTTCACCACTTATTTATGTGTCAGCTTGTCTTTGTGTTGGTAGAAGGAAAAAAGAAAAAGAAAAACATAAGACTGGCCTTTAGATTCTGAATCAAAGCTCTGCTCTGCTGATTGCTGGTGTGGCTTTTCAAAGGCAAAGCAAGTGGGGACATTGAAATTCGCTGTTTCTCTGGACCTGGAGCTGAGGGACTTTTATTTTGGTTTAGGTTGGTTTGTTTGTTTAATTCTAAGTATCAAGAACACGATTTTTCAATGTATCTTACATTTATCTTAAAATATCCCCAGTATTTTTTCTTTTTTTTCCAAGTTGATCGGGACTGAGAGGATAAAGCAAGGTGAGAAAACACTTTAAAAGGGAATCCGGGGGTGCCTGGGTAGCTCAGTGGGTTAAAGCCTCTGCCATTGGCTCAGGTCATGATCCCAGGGTCTTGGGATCCAGCCCCACATCTGGCTCTCTGCTCAGTAGGGAGGCTCCCCGGGGCCTCTGCCTACTTGTAATCTCTGCCTGTCAAATAAATAAATAAAATCTTTGTTTAAAAAGGGGGGATCTGTAGGTGTGAGGAGGCTTCTCTTGTGACCTAATTTCAGAACCAGAAGGAACCAAACCACTGCCCCTAACACACACTTTCTTGATAGTGACCTCTAGTTCAAAGTCATTAAATCAGTTGCCCAAGAGTCCCACTCAGAAAGTCAGGTCAAGACCCTCCTCTCTGGATTTCCACTTTGTCCTCTTTATGCTGCCCTATGCTGCCTCTAGCGTTAGATCAAGAAATTGTAAGGAAGAGTGGGGACAGGAGAAGAGAAGCAAAGCTGGAGAGGGTCAAAGATATTTCTAAGGAGGTTAAAAAAAAAAAAGTGGAATCCCTAAGTCAAGATGCTGCAACCCTTCCCTGGACAAAAAAATTAAATTAAATTAAAAAGAAAGCACCCTGCTCGTCCTAGCATTGAAGGCACAGAACAATAGCTACCTCTGAATACCTGTGATGCTTACTTTTAACTTTTTTTTTTTTTTTCAGAGTTTAGGACTTTTAATTTGTCCCAAAGTGCTTACTTTTAACTTTGAAAGATCAGCCTAGGGGAAGAAAATTAATCCCTTCCTTCTTGCTCTCCACACCTTCTACTCTGACTCAAGTGACTGTCGTTCCCCGAACATTTCGTGGACTTGTTCTTCATAACCTACTTCCTCACCTGGGTCTTAGACGTCTTTTCAACTCTCTCTCTCCCCCATCACAATTCACAAATCGTTATCCTGGGCTTTCGTATGCTGAAACATCACATTGGCACCTTGGGTGGACAGGATAGGTCGCTGGATTCATTTCAGCCAAAGTCCAGAGACCATGCCCGCCAACTATGCCAACCCCCTCCCGGGCCCCGCCACAAACACCCACCATTTATAGACACTCGGGAGACCCTCAGAGATCATTTATGTAGAAGAAGGGGTGTATTTTGCGGCTGCTGGTGCACAGCTGATGAAAATCGTGGAAAGGCGGGCGGGGGACTCCATCTGTGCCTCTGCTAAGGCGCGGAGCCGGAACAGCCGGCACGCGTCGGCGGCCGGCCTGCCCCAAGACGGCTGGCACGATCACCAACCGGGAATCGGCTGGTCCTGCGGGTGGGCAAAGGCAACGCGGCGGGGTGGAGGGCGACGCGGAGGGTGGCGCTGGCAGCGTGAAAGGCCTCTTTGTGCGGGACTTGGTAAGGAGGCGGTGAGCATGGAGAGAGCAGAGCGGGGACCCGGAGGCTGGGACTCTGGGACGCCGGTCCCCGCCACTCTTCGGCGGCGCCGGAAAGATCCGGGTAGTGCCGACAGGGGGCGGTGTGGGGCTGGAGGGGGTGGGGTGAAGGCCCCTAGGCTTGGTCTTCTTTGAGACCTAAGGCGAGAGAAAGACACTTCGAGAACGCGGGAGGGAACTGAGTGATTTGCCTCCCCGCCCCCTTCCCTGGGTGGCCGAGAGATCGCGCTGGCTGGAAGGGCGCAGCCCCTCGCTCGGCGCTCACTCAGCAGTCAGGGAGGCGAGAAAGCGGCCCCCAAGGCGGAGCCTCCGTCCTGCCCCCGGGTATCGCTGCCCCCACCTGGGGGAGAGAGGCGGGCGCCGCGCTGCCCTCCCTCTGCGCCCCCGCCGCGTGGCTTGCGGCTTATTTTCCCAGCTGGCAAGCGTCGCGCTGCAGACAAGGGAATGCCTGTGGTGAGTTGTTTATTTTGTCGAAGTTTGCGGTGGGCCAAGGGGGACGTGGGGGGCGAGCAGCAGGCAGAGGCCCAGACTGTTTTGTTTAGGTCTTGGTCCACCTGTGTGGTATAAATCTGCCAGCCTCAGGGCGGCGGGAGGCCAGGGTGAGAACACCCCCAACGCTCCAAAAGGCTTCTCTTGCAGACCTAGAACCACATTTGATTCTCCACTCCTGGAATCGGCTAGATCCTAGCTGACGCTACTCCCTGTACCTCGGATCATTGCTTCCTGTCCCTGCTGCGTAAACGGCTGGCGCTGTAAAGGACAGTCAGTGCCTATGACCCAGGGACAGCTGTCCATAGAAGTACCTCCAGGGTACCCTTCCCCATTTCTTGAAGATAGGCGAGCTGAGTATTTGATATGAGGGGCGCTCTTGAAACTAGTGGGAACTTGTTTTGGCGACTTGTGGTGTCAAGTCCGTTCAGGCGTGTCGGGTCTGCGGAGTACCACAAACTGGGATCCAGATTGGCCAGAGTTTCCTAGACTTGAGGCCGGGGGCGGGAGCGGGAAGGAAGCGAAGCGGTTGGCTCCCAGGGGAACCCAGAGGAACCCCCCAGGGCTGATGACAGTCACCACTGCGGCCCCGTTTGCCTGGAAGAAAAGCCTAAATACATTAGCGAGCTGGTAAAGCTTTTAAGGTCTTCTCGGGAGTCAGTGGCTGGCTAATGAGAGGTTAATTTTGTTTGGAAGAGAAGGCTGCGCTGGTTTCCTGAGATAAATGGACAGGAAGCGCATTACCTCCGCGCGCTGGCAAGCGGCTCCCAAATGCTTTTTGCACCTGCCGCTTTGAGCGGTGTGATCCGCTGCAGAGCCCGCAGGGATCGTGGGCGCCGGCTGTGTACTCTCGGGTGATGAGCCCCACTCACGCCCCGGGCCCCCTCCTTCCGGGGGCGCAGCGCTCACGCCAGGCTCTGGGGTCTTCTCTCACACCCAGGTCCTGCGTGCTCCAGAGCTCGGGGGCCCCCTGATCCCGTCAAGCCCCCTCCAGGATCGGAAGGGTTAAGAATGATGTAAGTACAAGCCACTAGCTGCTTGCTGCTGGGCTGTCGGACTCCGGGCTATTTCAGCCCCCGCTTTGCGGTCACCCTGGACTAGAGAGCAGGGCGGGGGGGGGGGGCTTACTCTAGAATGGGTTGCACAAATCGTTATCGCGGTCAGCTCCCTAGCTCCTCTGTCCTAGGTGAGCCCCTCGTGTTAGATGTCTGGAAATGGAGATAAATCAACAGGGGAATAGTTAAGACAGCGTGTATAGGTTCAGGAAAAGAAACTTTGAATTCTTATTCAGAATCCATTCATGTTGCTGGCATGTGTTTTAATTCTGTTCACTTACACGTTCATACCATGGGATGCTTTGCTGTGTCCTCTAATTGTGCTGTTCTGGTCTCATCTTTCCTTCCTGAAAACAAAGATGAAGAGAGAAAGAGTACAAGTGACAAGAAATAGGGTGGGTGTGTGAGTTGTGCAAGCTGTCACGTCATGATTTTTTTTTTTCTGATTAAGATGTAAGACTTTTATAAGTCATTGACTTTATGGGAGGAAAATCCCCAGATTTTTCTTTACAGAATCTTAAAATCCTGCTTAACTTATGGTATTCGAGCTGGAGGAATGGATGCGCTATAAGCGACCATTCACCAAGCTCTTGCTTTCCAAGCCCATTCGGGATCTTGCTAACAGTCCGAATTTACCCTGCGAGTATGTCAACTGACCTAAAGACTTGAAAACAGGAACCACCCTGCGGTTTAATTGTGAAAATTAACATTTTACTCAAGCAGGCTGAACACTTATGTGGTAATAAAAAATGAATTGTTAGCCTTATAAATCTTGGGCTTGTCAAATTTTACAACAGATGAGCAATAAAGCACCTTAGAAAAAAATGAAGTTTTCCCTCTGAAATACAGTTCCATTTCTATACAAGAATTTGTAGTGGCTCGAGGATGCCCTCTATTGATAAAATAATTTAGAGCACTGTGTGTTTAAGAAACAGGATAAGGAGGTGGGGGAGAAGTGGCAGGGGGAGAAATCAGTGAAAGTAATGATAGCGGAAAAAAAACCCCATCTAAACTGAATTTGATCCTTAACTTTCGGTTATGTGTTTTGAAGTATGATCAATAAAGTGGCATGCTTCTTTCATAGGGGTCGAATTAAATCTTGGGTTAAGGGAAAAGAAACATCTTATTGTTAGTCTTTGTTAGCAAAATACTTTGAAAAACTGCTCAGATTTGGTTTCTTTTAAAAGATGTTTACCAGCATTTCACTAATTTCAGTTCATGTATTTCATGTAATAATTGCAAGAGAATAAATTTTTGGTCTCATAGTATTTACTCCACAATACTATCTAAAAATCATTATCAGATAACTCTGCCTGCGAAAAGTCATTTCTCCAGGCAACTCTGAAGCTATTATTAAGCATATTATGGATATACACAAGGTTTGGATTATATCTTGGGCAGTGAAAGGTGTGTTTACCACTTGAGTCATCATAGTATGTAATAGGTAAGTAATGAAAAGTTACAGTAAAAATAGATAGACATCCTTCATTAGGGACCTAGTGGTTTGTACAGTTCATAATGTGTCTAATGAGTAAGCCGGAGTGATCGAAGGGTTGCCCTCAATTATCCTAGTCCATTGATTAGCACATTGTTACATGTGGAGTATTAACGTGTCGGTGGTTGATACGAAATTGCTAATTAGAGATTATGAGTAGTGAACCCGTACGGTTGCAAACTGCAATTTGGGTATAAGTGAATTTAAAACGGCAACCCCGAGCCTCTTGGAGGAATGGCAAAGGCAAGGACAGTGGAAGTAGCTCCTAGCCTTTGAAGCCATTCTTTAGATTAGATACCACTTCACACCTACTGATAACAAATTGGAACCTATCATCAACCTCACAACATGCTTTCCTGTGACAAGATTTGGCAACCTCTTTTCCTGGCACACGATTGGGTCTTTCCCCCTCATTTTTGCGTCGATCCAAGTGACCAAAGTAGAAAGTGACCTGCCATTGAATTAATATGCTAATAGACTAAGAAAATTCGTGGAAAAGCCACCGAGCAACAAGAAACGATGGCGTAATTACTCCACACTGCATTAAAAACTCACTATCCTCATTAATCTAATTACATTGTAACCGAACACGTTGAAGTTCGCCCACTCTCAGACTCCTCCCCGTTGCTTTCAGGAAGGGAAATGTCAGAGGAACAATAACGCCAGAGCCTCGCACAGCTGCCCGCGAATTCCGCCGGTTGCTGGTGGGTACCTTCCCAGCCCATCCGATCTGTTCCGGACCGCAGGTCACGTTCGGATTTCCAACGCCTCTGGGTGCTAGCTTTACAAAACGTCCGGAAAAGGCTCGGAACGCGGTTCCGCAGATGTGATTGGCTGCGAAGGGACCTGTCGCACGGCTCCGGGTAAAAGCGCCCACTTCCTTTCAGGAGCCGGAGGGACAGAGTGGGGGTGATCTAAAACACACAGACACACACACACAGACACACACACACACACACACACACCCAAAAACCTTCAGGGGAAGTTAAACCCAATCAACACCTATTAAAGGGGAAGTCAAAAGCCGGGTGCTTTTGTTACGCCGACAAGAGAGTTGCCGTCGGCAGTTTCTGTCGGGCACAAGGAAACAGTAGATCGCGGAAAGGGGAGAGAAGAGGAGGGAGCAGGAGGGAGGTTGAACCCGGGCGCGGCGGACCGGACTCTCAGCCAGCGGACGCGGAACTCGAATTACAATGAGCACGCTGAGGGCGGGAGGAGGTGCGGGGGGCGGGCGCTTTGGGCCCTGTGAGTGGCGGGCTGGGCCCAGAGGTCCCGCGCTTACAGCCAATGGGGTGGGAGGGAGGGGCTAGGCCGGGGGGTGGGGACAACGTGGATTGGCGCGTGTAAGGAGGGCGGGGCGGCAGTGCGGGGCTGAGATTGATTGACCGCAGGTCCGCCGCGCAGAGATATCCGGGGCTGCCAGCGGCTTCTCGTTAGGGCTGGGCGCGCCTCCGGTGGGTCCACGCCCGCTGAGCCCACGCTGGCCGGGACCCGGGCGCCCGCGCTTTTGGGGCCGGGCTCAGCGCTAAGCTCACCGTCTTTGTGTCTTTTCTCCCGCCCCCTTTGCCCCGCCCGCCGCCTCCGGCCGCCGCGATGCCGCTGCGCCCCGTTGCCGCCGCCGCCGCCGCCTCGCTCCGCCCGCGGCGCGCTTTTCGCTGCGGCGGTGGCGGCGGCCCGTATCCGACGCGGGCCTGAAGGAGGAAGAAGAGGAAGCGAGGAGCGTCCCCCAGTCCATGCCGCAGCCACGGCCACGGCCACGAACCCGACACGGCGCCCGCGCCGCCGCCCTCGCCGGAGCCCACGAGACCTGCATGGACGGGCATGGGCTTGAGAGCAGCACCTTCCTGCGCCGCTGCCGCCGCCTCCGCTGCTGCCGCCGGGGCTGAGCAGCGCCGCCGCCCCCAGCTCTGCCCGCCGCCCCTGGCGTTGCTGCTGCTGCTACTGCTCAGCCTCGGGCTGCTCCACGCAGGTATGAGGCGCGCGCGCGAGGGTAGCCAGCCCAGGGCCGAGTGCTTTGTTCCCAAACACCCCGGTCCCGAAGGCACACGTTGGGGCAGAAGGGCGGCGTGGCGTGGCGAGACCGGAGAGGCCTCACGGGCTCCAGACCTGCACCTTTGCCGGGCTCGGGGCGCGGCGGTACGAACACACCCGCGGGGTCGAGCGGCGCGCCCAGGGCGCAGTGGAGAGGCCTCTTTCCCTCCCTCCAGTTTCCCCGCCTTCGACTGGGACCGTTGGTAAATCTTCCCAACAGACGCTTATCAAAGATTTAGAGCGCGGGGGCGGCGGGGGCTGCGCCCCCGGGACAAATGTTCCGGGTGCTTTATTGCTCACTGTCTTGGTGTTTACTGAAAGTCAGTCTGGGATCAGGTTTCCGCCGCCGCCGCCCCCTTCGAGGGGAGACAGGGAGCCTTGTGCTGCTTCTCTGGAATTGGGGGTGGCGATGAGGGGGAGAAATCGCCCCACGTGTAGAGATTTTCACCGGAATTTGAAAACGTGGGGGTTAATCTCGAAGTAACTTTTTAAAACAGGAATTTCTTTCGTATTTGCGAAAGCTGCTTTTAATTCAGCTTTCACCCTCTTTGAGGAAACTAGTGCTTTGTGGCTCGCCGCGTGTTTTCGGGTTCCAGGAGGGGTTGACAGATCTCACAAGGCTTTCTGGAGGTCGGCGCTTCCCCTGTGGAAGCAAGAGTGAGTTGTCTGTTCTTACCGAAGTAGGCCTGCAGACGAGCCTTCTAGCAGGTGGTACTTATTTTTCTTGTGAAATAAGTTGCATTAACACAATGTTCTATGTGAGCTGTATCTCAGTAAAGCCGGGGGTGGGGGGCGCCGGATATTTAGGACGTTCTTTATAAGTAAGGGCCACGTCTAGGAGTTTGTCTAAAGAATTAATTTAGTGTCAGACTGAAAGATAAATTCTGTTTTGAGAACAACTAGAGCATGAGATAAGTTTTTCTTCGAGACTTTTTTTGTCCTGTATTTTATGACCGCAGTCTCAACGCGCTCTGATCTGGAGAATCCTGAACTGTAATGCCTCCCAACTGTGTGGAGTCGTATTTATTTATGAAGTCATAGCAGCCTTGCTAAAAATCTGGGAGGTCTTTTAAGTAATGGGGAAAAAATGTGGCGTTTGAGGAGACTTAATTTACTTTTCGTAACTTTGCATTGTGATGGAACAGCTGCGTTTTAACACTCACTTGGGGGAACATAGGGTGTGATAGTAAGTGATTAAGTAAGTGATAGTAAGTGATAAACCTTACAGTGATTAAGGTTTTAAATGAGTGACTTTAGAATCTTAGTAATGTCAACCTGTTTATGGTCACATGGACATTTTTAATCATGTGTCAAAAGCTACATTCAGGAGTGTTTTGTGTGAAGAATCTGTCTTCTTAATGTCAAAGTGTGTGTTTCTTGAAATGGAAATTGAAGTATTCTTTAGGACTGTGTGTCCCTCATGACTGCTTGGATATTGTTTCCCTTCCTTGTCAGAGGGTTCTAAGACAAAATTGGAATGTGGTCCTTGAAAATTTCTTTTCTGGCCAGTAATGAAAAACTTAAGTTGTTACAATGTTTAAGCTGCCTTATTTCAAGAACTTGGGATGTGAAACTCCTCTCAGTATCTTCGTGGGTCTTCACTAAAGTCACCATTGGATTCTACCTAGAGTTTCCGTGGTGAGTGATACCTGTGGACAACTTGTTGGGGTGGAATGATTAATTTGGTTAAAAAAGGCTCCTTTTTTGAAAGATTTCTTTGAAGAGTGTTGGTATTGAAATGCAAAGATTGTTTCTCTTCAGAGAGCCTAGTGGAGTGCTCTTTGCAGATGGGCTACCATATGTTTTATGCCTGGATCCATTATAATTTGCCTCGGCACCCCATATGGCCCTGCGTTTCACTTAATTCAGCTTCAGCATATCTTATTTCTTTTATTATAAACTGGTGATTGTGCTGCAAATTCACTCGTGCGGTCCTGGCCTCAAGGAAATGGTCTTGAATGGTGAGATCTTTGAATCATTAACGAAAGCTGTAGACCCACAAATCCTTTAGCACTTTCATTAACTGGAATGAAAACACTATCACACCAATCATTGATCATCTGACTTGAAAAATGGAGACATCTGTAACAGCAGATTTTGTTTTCTGCTCTAGGAAATAAAAAACGTCCTTTCATTCCCCCCCCCCCCATCCACTTTAAGCAAATCTCTACAATTCCTGAATGGAGATGCAATATGGGAGTTACTTGCTTACTCATACTCTTCATGGCTTTGTTGGCTACATCGTTGAGATTGTTTCTGCTCTGCATTGTCTTGGCATCTTGACAGGAAGCTTACTTTACCGCCTGTAACAGGCAAAGTGTGCGCTGTCATTATAAATTCATGAAGCCTGGATATTTCTGGGTGTATGCTGCGAATTAGTCATTATACAGGAGCCTGTGATGGACCGAAACTGCTGACCCAGATGCACTCTCTAGTTAGTCCTCCTCTTTTCCCACCATCTCTATTTGAAAAGGCTGTCAGAAAGCGCATCCCACGCAAAAGAACACAAGGAGTTCTGTTTGATGTGACATTTCTCAAAAGAACTGGCACCTGCCTGCTGGGAGAAAGGGAGAGGGGAGGAGGACAAGGAAGGAAAAGGAGGTAGGAATCTATATTCTACTTCTCTTCCGAACAGTTATATCTGCATCTCATGCTCTTCTTACTTTGGATATTTTATGACTATTTAAAATAATTATAAGTAAATGTATGCTCGGATAGATTTTATAGACCATAAAAAGAACAAATAGGCATTGCAAGTTTAGCGGAAAGTTCCTGTCCTGTCATTTATTCATAGTCTAGGAGCTGTTCTTTACTGACTGATCTTGGCCCAGTTTTTATTTCCTTGCTTTCTACTTGCTGTGAAATCTTATTTAAGAAGAAAAAAAATAATAATTGATAGAAGAGTTGTCTTTTTTTAAGTTATCAGCTATTGTTGTGAGAATCAGGAATTTAGAGCATCTGTGACCTGAGGAAGGAAAAGATTTGAGGAAAGGCACTTTATCCTGGACTTTGTTCTAGCTATTTATGATCCAGCCACGACAAGGCTTTTAATATCCCTTTGTCTTGATTTTTCCAATATGTAAAATGGCTTTAATGCCTTTGAGGTTGTTCGTTGGTTTTTGGTTTTTTAAGTCAAACGGTGGAAAAGGACTTGATCTACTTTGGAGAAAGGAATTCTGTAAATAGAGGAGCTGCTTTTGTCAACTCTAGAATGAGCCAACATGAGATAGGCCAAACACATGAAGGTGTTTTTGTGATTTTTTTTTTTAATGTGATTTAGTGATAGGTGTAAGTCCATAGCCCCAAAACAGTAATTTTTTTTTTTTTTAAACTCACATTAGAGCCCAATCTAGACTACATTTCTCCCTTCTTGGTCTTTGAAATGTAAAAACAGTGGGAGAGGTGGCTTGAGAGGTTGTCATCCCCCAGTCTTTTCTGCTTGACTCAAGCCAGAAACAGAGATTACAGGTTATTCCATTCAGGTTTAAAAGCACCTTAATACTGGAAAGATTAAAGTATTTTTCTAAAATGATACTAGGGTTAGTTTTAAGTCTTCATCAGCTGAAGTCCTAAATCTTGATACTATCCTGAAATTTATGCCCACATCTTAAAATAATTACATATTTAATATATACTCTTTTTTTCCCGTCACCTAGAATAAGAATTATAAAATATTTTATGCCTGGGGCAAATCACAAAAACACCTCCTCTCATTTCTGAGCTGAGGAGTCTAAGACTTGAAAGTATGGAAAGTTTCTCCAGTTTAGAGACCTAAAAAGAATGTTTAAGTAACACAAAGTACGTGTTAAAATTAGTTTGTATAAAACTTGAGGTGGATGTTTAGGAAAAGTATTTTCCTTTTCAGTAATTCTAGCATTCCCAGTTTATGGATCAGAATATAAAACTGGCGCACACAACTGACCTAGTATTGGCAATTCTTGTATCTTTTCATGCTTTGAGAGGTTTTTAATTTTTTTAAAAAGATTTTATTTTTTTTTTTTGAGAGAGTGTGTGCATGTGGTGGGGCGGAGGTGGTGGAGGGAGGCAGGCAGGAGGAGCAGAGAAAGAGGGACTAGCAGACTTCACAGTGAGCTGGGCATGGAGCTCAATCCCAAGATGGTAAGATCCTCACCTGAGCTGAAATCAAGAGTTGGGTGTTCAACCAGCTGAGCCACCCAGGCGCCTCTTAATCTTTTTATATGAGGAGCTAGTGGCAAGACATAATTTGAAAATTGACTTTTTTAAAAAGTAAGGCAGTTGGAGTTGGGGTGTTTTTTTTTTTTAATTATTTTAGCTTTGCTTTAATCATTAGGTGTATCTGAACTGTTGACTTAAGGAAAGAAGTCATTTATATATTCTCTAAGAATTCTGTGTGCTGTAGTTCCCTGGTTCTCGTTCTTTCTTTTTTTTTTTTTTTTAGATTTTATTTATTTATTTGACAGAGATCACAAGTAGGCAGAGAGAGAGAGAGAGAGAGGAGGAAGCAGGCTCCCTGCTGAGCAGAGAGCACGGTGTGTGGCTGGATCCCAGGACTCTGGGGTCATGACCTGAGCCAAAGGCAGAGGCTTTAACCCACTGAGCCACCCAGGCGCCCCCCTGGTTCTCTTTCTAATAAAACAGTTGGTGGAATCAACTGTCCTTGCAGTATGATTTCAATCTGGTGTCCTTTTTGATTTAGTGTACCTTTCCTGATGACCTGCTTGTGATCTGGGACCCAGTAGTGATGGATGTTAAGGGAGAAGTAAATACACAGCTTGATCCAATGAGTCACTCTATTTTTTTAAGAAAACAGATTTCATAGCACCCAGGAGATTGTCAGTTTATGTACAGTTCCTTAATAGACACCCCTAAGGAAATACAGAATAACTTAGTACCTGGATTTTTTCTTGTTACCCTGTAGCTGTACTAGAGTCAGGGAAAGGGGTTTTAACTAATCATGCTATAATTTAGGGGTCCCAACCTGAGGCGTGGAGCCTTAATTGTGGTTTTGTGCATAGATGCTATGCTTTCCAAAGCAAATGACTTACGCCCTTTCCAAAATCAAAACAAAGTTCACATCTTTGGCTTGGCCTTAGAGCAAAGGAAACTTTCTCAAAATCTGTAAACAATAGCAGGGGTGAAAAGGTACTCCATTTAGCCATTCCCTTATAATTTTTATGTAAGAATACTGGGCCAGACTGGTGTTCACTCACAGCAGCTCATGATTTCAAGTTTTAAGGTAACTGATTGCATGCAGTTTTTCTCCCAGTGGCTGAATTCATGAGAGACACAGAAGCACAATGCAACCCTATTTCTGAAGGCCTTCTTAAAATAGGAGGATACGAGATGGAACAAACAGTTTCCAAAGGAGGATGTCATTTTCTCATGAAGCTCAGGAAGTTGCAAAGCATTCAAAAAAATGTTGGGTCTTATCTTCTTTCTCATAGGTGACTGCCAACAGCCGGCCCAGTGTCGAATCCAGAAATGTACCACGGACTTTGTGGCCCTGACTTCGCACCTGAACTCTGCCATTGACGGCTTTGACTCTGAGTTTTGCAAGGCTCTGCGTGCCTATGCTGGCTGCACCCAGCGAACTTCAAAAGCCTGCCGTGGTAACCTGGTATACCATTCTGCTGTGTTGGGTATCAGTGACCTCATGAGCCAGAGGAATTGTTCTAAGGACGGACCCACATCCTCCACCAACCCTGAAGTGACCCATGACCCTTGTAACTATCACAGCCACGCAGGAGCCAGAGAACACGGGGGAGGGGATCTGAACCCTCCTGGTTACCTTTTTTGTGGCTTGTTCGGAGATCCTCACCTTAGAACTTTCAAGGATCACTTTCAGACGTGCAAAGTGGAAGGAGCCTGGCCACTCATAGATAATAATTATCTTTCAGTTCAAGTGACGAATGTGCCTGTGGTCCCTGGATCCAGTGCTACTGCTACAAATAAAGTAAGTATACTTTTTTCCTTCTGACTTGTAATTTGAAGGTGTTTGATTCTTAAGACAATTTTTTTTTCCTTTGGACAATTCTTGAAGTATGATACAGAAGACCTAGTTTAAAAGGAACTTTTTCTTGTTTTTGGCAAGCAGTTAACAGGGTGAATGGAGGATTAAATGAAAATTATTTAGTAAAAGATTTCTCACTGGAATCTTAGGGCTTATGTAAAATGTGGGTCTAAGTTTAAGCAGTGATACGAAAAATTAAAAAAACACAAGTTGAGTTGCTGTGAAAAGACAGGTTGGTTTAAGGGGAAAATGTATACTTTTTTTTCTGTGATGTCTTTTTTGAGTGTGACTTTTGTCACTTTGGTTTCTAAATCCATATTCTGACTTTTCTGATGATGCACTTGGGTGTTCAGAGAAAGCTCTGAAACCTGGGGTAATAGCCCATCAGGAAACATAATTTATTGGAAATTTGGAAACTAGTAAAAATACAATGGCTATAGGCCAGCTTCCTAGTGGCAAACCCAGAGTATTTTCGTTATTAACCTTGTCATGACTAAGCAATTTTAGAATTGGGTATTGTGGAGCAGTGATGTATAACGAGTATGTAATCTCAGGAAAACAATTTAATGAAGAAGTCGGGGGGAAAACTGACAAAAGTAAGTTCAGCTAACCCTGCCTGTCTGTATTCTTGTTTGTTTGTTTGTATGTTTGTTTGTTTTAAAGAAACTGATACCTAATAGAGTTCATTTAAACCAACTTTAAGGCACCAGTGTCCGTGCAAGTGGGTGAAGAGCTGGGAACAAGGTTCCCAATTGCCAGTGAGTGCTAATTCAGGCATTAGTAAGTAAATGTAGGGGTCAGAAAAGGTTTTCCAGAAGAAAGACTGTCCCAAGTAACCAGCTCCTTCCCAGTCTTCCCTAATCACAAAAATCACACAGAACTGTTTCATCTTGCTCAATTTCCTTTATTCATCAGTTGGTTTAGACTAAAATGTAATTGACAAGCATCAAGCTTTAGTAATATTTATGACTGTTCTTTTGATTCCAGAACACCCTCCCTTGCCTCCAAACATGGGTGGCATGTTTTTAAAGTGAATTTGAATTATTTTACTTGGCATTTTGAGGAGGTAATTTTATAGCACCTCCAGAGATACCTAGAGGTCTCACACCCAGGGGTCTCACAAATCTAAGATTAGAAGTCGTTGCTCAGAACAAAGAAGTCTGTTACATTAGTCCAGACATCTAGGGGAACTCAAAAATGTTTACACTTCAGCTCCCAGTAAAAGCCCTGGCTTGCCTTTCCAAATCCTACATCTCATATAAACCTTTCTTCCACTGCTTTTTATAAGTATGTAAATAGTTTTTCCTATCTGTATGTTAAAATATGTGTTGGCTGTAAGTTACAGTAGAAAGTTACACAATTATGAAGTTATAAGACAAACTATGGCCAAAAATCCATCATTGCTGCAGCGTCTTAGGGCATAAAACCTGGGAATAACCTTTAGGGAAAATGTGAGACCAAAAAATCAAAAAAGCGGTTCCGCTGGGAATGGAGAAAGTCCTGTCGATAGTATAGGTAACTGAGGGCTTGGAGTCAGCGGTACTTTGGAGAGTAGCAGGTGCTTTGTGCATGGGGAAATACTCAAGCCTTAAATTTAATTTTCCATGCCTTCCATCCATTTGTGTGTCACTTCTACTTGTTAATTAGCCTTTCAAAATTCTGTACTTTTTAGTGATCGTTTTGGAATTAATTGGGACAACTAGTTACCTTTTTTGAGTATCAATATTCTATAAATGGAAGTTGACACTGAAGTACTTTAGGTTGGGATCCATTTCATTTGTGATCAGGTCTGCCATCGTTTTTAGCAAATGAATAAGAAGTACAGCTTCGTTTTCTCCCACAGTTTGATAAGGATCAAAAGTTTTGCCCTTCCCAAAAGGGATGTGGGAGGCAAGCTGTCCTCTTGACTTAAATTCCAGCAGACAATGAGAATACTTGGTCTTTTAGTGCACTGTTGAAAAGTAATTCCCACATCTGGTGACCATGCTGTTCAGGAGCCCATGACTGTATGGCTTCACCTGCCTCTGATAGTTGTGGGGTTTTTTTCCTTCTGTTTTTTGCAGCTTTCTCCAAAGCTCCCAAAAGCATCTGGAAAGTTACTGCCAAAGACCTATCTCAGTGCTGATGTGAACTGTGCTGGTGAAGCACAACTAAAGGCCTAAAATTTTGCAGTGCAATTTCCTTTTATCTACCCAGGGCCAAAATGAAATCTTTTAAAAATTCTAAGCAATGAAAAAATGATGGTAATAAAAATAACACTGAGGCAAAAAATACATTTGAAGTTCCCAAAAAGATCTGATTTTTTTTTTTAATGTCTACTGCAATACTTAAAAAAAAAACCTTTCAGAAGATTTTTTTGTACAGGTCTCCGCTTGACTGAGCCCACAAGCACGTACATAGACCAGCTACTTGGTAAGTTAGCACTGCACTCGACAGATACCCTATCATCCTTGGGGTCAGGCATTTTTAATGACCTATGTGCTGGTGTCACTAGCTGGAAAAGCTGACCAGTGCTGTGGTAGACGTTGGTGAGCTGTGCTGCTGAAATTGTCGTCTGTAAGCACTCACTCATTTCAATACGTTCAGCACTGAACTAAGTCACTGAGCCAGGGTTTGAGGCGCAGTGAGGTCCTTAAGACAGTACCTCAGTCCTGGGAACGTGGCTTCTTGAGCAAGCAGTCTCGGGGTCCTCTTTGTGATCCCTAACTGCCCTTAAGTACCTTTCTCTCATCACAAAAAAACAAAAGGTGAGGGGAAAAAGATCTAAACTGAATAAAAGAAAGTGAAGTCCTCTGCATTCAAGGGGCCATTTCTTAGTTAAGCCTTTTCCTTCATCCACAGAGCAAGCAGCGAGTTTAGGGCAGCTAGACCTGCGGCACTGGGTGGTGTGGCCTTAGCTTCCCCGCCCCCCCCCATCTCCTCTCTGTCCCCCTGCCCTGGGAACCTTAGTGTGGCGCTACAGGTATACTTCCTGAAGGCCATTCGTGCTTTTAGCCACACACACACCCACACACACCACCACCACCCCCTCAGCCCTCCACCGCCCCCTATCCCGCGCCTGCCTCCCTCTCTTCAGAGGAGTCTCGTGCCTTTGCCAGGAGGTGTGCTCCTAAAGGGGAGGCCAGGGCTAGCTTTCTGTCTCCACCTCAGGGGCTGTGGGGCTTTCTGGCACACCTGCCCGCCTCAACTGAGATCCACACCAGCTCCGGGCCATCTCCCTCACCTTTGGCTGTGAGCAACGGCTGCAGGCCTGCAGGCCCTGGAGAGGAGAGACAAGAGGGACAGGCTTAGAACTGGCAGAGTTGGCTAAATAGGAAAGAAAAGCAGTTTTTATTTTGCGGGGAGGAGGAAACTTTTTAGGTTCCAGAGAGGACATGTGTATCTACCTCCCCTGGGCCTCAGACCAGTAACTAGGCTAGATCACCTGTGCAGATGGTTATCTCCTATTCCACCTCTTGCGCGGTCCCTTTGCCAGCCCCTTCGTCTCCTGTGTGTCTGTTTCTGTTCAGGTGCACTCTAAGGATTTGTGTATGCCATGGCTACAGAAAGTGATTTTGCGGTGAATTCTCTGATAAGATTCTGTACTCTACAGATACGTTCCTAGCAGTGTGTATTAAGATTACCCGTCTCTCGGGTACATTTAAAGTGATTCCTTTTCCAAAAAATTTCAAGAATGCATTTACTGTACACCTAAACAACGGGAATACTTTTCAAACTTACTTTTTACAAGTGCTTTGGATACCTTTGGTTTATTTTTCTGTTTGTTTCAATGTAATCGTGTCCTTTTCCATCACTCCAGCTTTGTCATCCTGTCCTTCAATCTCAGTAAAACAAAATTATGAGGAGAAGGAGAGGTGGGGGGTTGACAGCAGGTTCCTTTATAGATCTGCTACAGAAATTTCCATACTTCCTCCTTGAGTGAGAAAAATGGTTTACCTTAAAGTGTTTGCATTTGGGAAAGAGGTGTGTTGTCTTCATCAGGCCAGGTGGCTGCAGGCCGGGTGGGAAAGCGCTCCAGCACACCTCGAATGTTACTGCTATGGCTCGGGGCTTCCAGCTCCTGGTAATCCCGTCGGCAGTAGCACCAGTGCCTATCCAAAGCGTGGGAAGAGGGCCAGGCCCGGCAGTTATCTATTTTTCAAAGTCCCTCAGTCCCAGTTTCCAGCTACTTTCTGGGAAATGGCCTGAAAATTATTATAATTATCCCTCAAGCCCAGATTCCAGCTACTTTCTGGGAAATGCCTGAAAACTTGGACTGGTTGATGATAGTAGAGATCATCGAAGGAAGACTTCGATTGTTCAGTTTGTTCTTGCTTTCTCTCTGCTTCCTTCAAACTGTGTAACCCAAGATGTTCCCTCGCAGCAAGACATCCTCCTGTGTGGGGTCCTCGAGCCGGAGTTGAGTCCTCCCCTCTTTTCTGATGCCCCTTCGCTTGTAGCTGCTGTTCACAGCGGTATACAGGCTTGTTAACTAGTGTTCTGGACCCATTCTCTATTGGACAATAGGGAAAATCCGGGCATGCCTGCATTTCAAAGGCTTCCAACTGTCATTTTAAGCAATTTCTGGATCAAGGTTGGAGAAACCATCCTCTTTAAACCCCAGGCCGAGTGCATCTTCTTTGTGGCCAAGTGTTTGTCCCCCCACTATGTTTTTTATTATCTTTATGAGATAGTCTGAGCTACACGATAGTGATCATTCCTATTTTTATCAACTAAAGACAGTGCCTCATATTCCAGCGGCAGGATTGTATTGTGCATCTGTGGACACTGTTCTTGGATGTTGCATTGTTACAGACGGGGCAGTGGTGTTTTCCTTAAAATTAGAGAGACCTGGGGCGCCTGGGTGGCTCAGTGGGTTAAGCCTCTGCCTTTGGCTCAGGTCATGATCTCAGGGTCCTGGGAGCCTGCTTTCCCCACTCTCTCTCTGCCTGCCTCTCTGCCTA